GACGAACAAGGATACTAAGGAATAAACTTTTCATAAAGTCTTAACAAAGTTGCCGGAAACTTTTTAATACAACCATAAAATTGAACAAACAGGCAAAGCAATTTTTGTATGCGTATGGGTAGTGATATGCATTCCTACGCACATATATATGCATGTTAAAATATTTCGCTATATTCTCTAATGAACTTGCGCCTATAACTAGTAGGTAAATTCTAAGAAAAAAAGTTCTGCAAAAAATCTACTAAAAAAATAAAAGCGAAATCCGTCGAAGTTATCAAAATCTTCGAAAACATTTTGAATACATATTTCAGGTATATTTGTTATAAAATTCCAAAGCTATTAATTACTTGTAGGCGTGCCAACACCTTGATTAGAATTGTGTTTCTAGTCTGTCCACACAATAGTTGGAAAAGCTTTTTAATCTTGGTCTGTTTTAAATTAAAAGTAATTGTTAATACCAAAAACCTTAAATATGCGAAAGTATTTAAATCCACATAAGACAATATGTATGCCTTATGGATTCTCAAGGACAAGAATAATAGACTTAATCTTAAAGACTATACGCGCCGTGAACGTCGTTATAAAACCAGAATAAATTTCTTTCGTGAACGATGGGCATAATGAAAAGTATTATATTAAGTTGAGCACGATATCAAATCGCGAAGGAAATTCGTAGAAAAGGAATACGGAAGGAGAGGAAATTTATTTTTACCCTAATATAAAAAAGAAAGTCTTTAATGCGGTTTTGTAAGTGATGCAAAAACTTGTAATTTGCATTTTTTGTAATTTAATAATATAAATAAATTTGTAATAAAAGTCGACCACATGCTGCATATACATAGGCATCATCAGCAATTTGTCGTTTCTTTTATATAACATTTAGCTTACACTTCAGATAATTTCAAATGACAACGCACTGAAATGCTACAGAGGCCAGTGGTATTGGTTAAGTAAAGATAGACAAGTAAATTTTCTCATCTTATAATCACAGAAACTTATATATACCTTCAGATGCAATCGCACATACTTGTGTAAACACTTGTAGGATGTTGGGAAAAATTGTTGAGATCGCAAGATATTTGAGGTTGGTTAGGTTAATATTTAAGACAATTTCTTCTTGCTTGTCTTAAATGCTGTTAGCATTTGTTTCGGCCATTACATTGCACTTAACTGGTATGTTATTTACTTAATGGTCACTGACATGTGTTTATGTACAAAAAAGACGTAGATTCTATAATGTACGTTTTGTTTTTCTGCTGGGCTTATGTAAACATATTCTAGTTTCTTAACTTTAATTATCGAAATGTTGCTAGAAAAGATTTAAAAAATAACGACAATTTGTCCATTGCATGAAAAGTTAATTGTATCCTACTACTCTAGCTATTTGCTATTTGGAGTAATTGCCTTCTTTTTTCTTATTAGTAATGTTGTTGTTGCAAAATCTCACCATATAGCTAAGAAGTTATCTATAATGTTTTTTTTTTTGGGTTTGATTTTTAAGAGAAAAATTTTAAGTGTATTTGTTTTACTCTCACGTATTGCAAAGACTAATTTTCTCTGTGTTTCTCATCTTTGTATGTTTTATATGAAAAACACACATGCATGTATGCACACTTGCTATACTCTTTAACACGAGCGACTCCATCAAATTTCAAAGGTATTAATAAGCGCACATTAGAGAAAAGCAAATAAAAAAAAATCAAAAAGCAATTACTATTATTTGAAATAAGCATCGTATCATCGTACGAAGTTCGTTGTTTTTTTTGCTTTTTGTTTTTGCATCGTTTAATTTCTCTATAGATACATATTTTTCTTATTAACACGAGGCTTAACATTTGTTCGATTTGCATAGTTTTTTTGCTATACTAAAGAGTAAATGATTCTTCGTGATAATGTTCGGCATTTAAATCAGTTCTTTTACTTAAACCGAAGTGCGCGGGTGGCTTGTTTTACGAAAATGTAGGGTTTGTTTTATAAATTATTAAAAACAGTAATTGTTAGAATTGGAAAATTTCAAAAATATACTTTACAGTTAATTTTTTTTTCGATTATTCTAAATATTGTTTAATACGTTTTCGGGTTTTTAATCTTACATTTTAATAGTCGGTAATAAAGTGGTAAAGTGTTAAAGTAAAAGTGAATTAATGGTCGTTGTTGTTGGGTTAGCGTAGTTTTTGATATACATAAATTTTTCGTGTGACTAGTTTAATCTTGTTCAATATTGTAAAGAAGTTTAACAGCATTGCAAACGGTGAGTTTGAGTTTATTCATTTATGATCTTTTATAAAATATATATTAATATAAATATAACATAAAACCAACATAAAGGTTTCTGGTCAAAGATCTTAGACTTGTACTTATTTTTCAGATTTAATTATCTTTGTACACTTTCGGCATCCGCCATTTGTACAATGTTAATACAGGAAATTCGTGAATAGCCGAGTTCATAATAATTTGAGTTAGAGTGAAATTTTATTCAGTAAAATTTTAATTAAGTTAGTTTCATATTTGTAATAAAAGAAAATTTTCGCTGTAAACAGTGATAAATTACTATTTATTATTGAACATGATTTCTTTGAATCCAAGATACACTTTAACTAGATTTAATATTTTTCATACCCTACACTACCGTAAAATCAAGAAGGACGTGAGATAAAGCCGTCTTTTATTATTCAGAATCACTTCCCTCTAGTAATCACAAGCGATCTAAGCTTGTTGGTCTGTCTGTCTGTCTTGTTTTTTCTATTCAATCAATGTGCAATTATTGAAATATTTTCATGGGTCCAAAGAACACCGCTATTGAAATTGACGCGGATCAGACTACTTTTTTGATCCTCCCCTTATAACAGCCCATTTTGGGCCAAAAGGCCAGCGTTATATAAACAACTGGCGGTATAGGAAATTTTATGGTTAGTGCCATATTATAGTGTTTTCACTTGTTTATTAATTTTTGTAGTGCGAGGAAAGCAAAATATTAGTAAAAGGATACACATATTTATTAGTCGTACACTTCTCAATAAATTCTAGCCATTTTTTATGAGAGAAATCTACACAAAATTATCGTTTTCTGCTATCGCAAGCGTTACGGTAATGGCTGCTACTTGCTTGGCTGTAGATACTTATGTCAGTTTTCGATTCTTTCAGGCATAGGTAGACGTTAATTCGTTTCATTTCATTCTGAAAACTATTGAAATTTACTAACTTTTACTTCAATTTAATTCTTATGCTCGAATAGAAACGCTTTACTAATTTGTCGATATTTTTATCTGCAGTATTTTCTTATTCATTATGTATGTAAATAAGATTTTTTTTTAAATTTTGTATACATTTTGGTCTGTGTCAACAGTTGAAAATGCTTAGAAGAAAAGCTAAAAATTCAAAAGGTATTTTAGCGCTCTCTCGCTTTTCTGCAAATTTTGTTTTTTTAAAAGTTGAGATGTAAGCGAAAAGATGAAATTAATTAAAATAGTTTTAATTTAGTTTGTCATTAACACAAATTAAAAAGTTTATTTTTGGACATTTAATCAAGTCAATGTTTTAACGGAGAAAGAAGGACAATCAGAGTTTGCATAACCTAAAGTAAACTGGAAACTTTTTACATCATTTATATCATATGATCAATATATGTAAATACTCGCCTTAGTATGTATTTATAGTAGTTAATATGAAAAGCAACAGGGCGAGGGAAACTAACATTTTTTTCAATTGCGAGCGTAGTTATTAGTTATAAAAGAGAAAGATTTTCATTTAAGACTTTCGTAAATTCAATTTTCAACTTTATCCATTAAAATAGGCTTCTATTCCACTTGGTAAGTGGAGGAGATAGTAGATGACAAATGAATATGAAATATGAAATATGCTTCCATAACACGTGGTAGTTTGAGTAAATAATAGATGACAAAGAAGTAGGAACTAATAGAATAATCAGCAAGTTCGAGCTTAGTAGGGATAACTATTTTTTGTAGGTATTAAAGAGCAGATAACAAAGATACGTCTAACGCTCTTAATCAGTTATGAAAAGATCGAAGATGAGTGGTAAGCGTACGTAGCAAATTCACTCACTGAATGCTTGTTCATGAAGATCACGAATGTTTTAGTTTTTTTTTTAAAGAAAGCTATTAGGATAGGACTATTCACTTTACGAATTTTCTGATTAGAGCTTTTAGAAAAATCAGGAGAACGACGAGGCAGGATACTAAATCTATTATGCATAAACATATGTGCATTAGATGAAAATGTCAAGAAGGAATTACTTGTCATTGTTTATGCGTTGCTGTGACAGCAGCTGCTAGAGTATTTACTGCATCGTTTGCATTTGTTTCAACCTTTAGTTGTTGTTAAAGCTGCTTGCTTAACTTCAACGAAAAGGCTTAAATTGTACGATAGATAGTTTTTTTCCACCTGTCGAATGCAAGCGTGACAACGAAGTGTTTCTCTTTCCTTGCAAACAAAAGACTTTGCACATTCAATCCCTCCTGTCTTCATTCTTTTTCCTTTTGCACAATTTTATATAAGTGCACTTTGACACTTCATTATTCGAACAGTGTCACTAAGAATTTCGTTAGGATTTTTTCATTGTACTATGTACTGTTGTCGTTATGTGGGAGGCAACTCAACTCGTATTTTCTACGATAAGAATGTTATTCATTTTTTCTTTTTGTTAGCGCCTCACTCTGTCAAAGACATGATTCAAAGTAATTTTATGCTCTTCTTGTTTTCATTATTATTTTTTTTTTTTATTTTATTTATTTATTTTTTTTTGTGTTGATTTTGGAAAGTAAGGGAAACCATCAGTTTCGTTTAATGATTGCTAAAAATTTGCAAAAGCCAAAGAATGAAAAAAAATTATTAAGAACATTTTCTTGAAACGCACACACACACAATTTTAGTTTTAAATCGAGCAAAATTTTACTTAATTTAATTTTAATATATATAATGTATTATATGATGCTGCTTTAATAGTTACCGGCAGAGTACGTAGAAGTCAATTAATTACTTACCATTGGATTTGGACCCATTTTAACATTTTTAGCCATTTCCATCATATCGAGTGCTAGACGGGCAATACATTTTGCATGATCTTCACAATGATCCGGTAATCCAGATACGGCCATATATTTATCACCAACTGTTTCGACCTAAGGCAGATAATGTTGAGATTTTTACTTGAGAAGACTATCATAATTAAGAGAATTTTTAACATAAATTCATTCGCATAAGTGTTTACATTTTTTTTTTTTTTTAATTCTAAAGTAAGAGTTCACTTAATAGGTTGTTTCTTATGGCTACTGATTACATTACGAAATATTGATATCACCAACTGAAACCAGTTTCATTCATTTTTAAAAATTTTTCGTTATGCACTGAATATTTTTCATATTTTATGTTCTCCTTTTATTTGGGTAACAACAAATTTACCTTATAAATATTTGGATTACGTTTCGAATCAGTTAAAGCATCAAAAACGGTATAAAGTTCATTTAACATTTTTACAATTTTCATTGCACCTTCAGGATCTGTATTCTCTGCGCAATATTTTCCGAAACCCACAATGCCAGAGAACATAAGGGTAACAGAATCATAACTGTATTAATGGAAATAACAAAACTTTATTAAAAAAAAAAAAACAAACAGAAAAAAAAAAAAATTTTATTTTCCCTTTTTGAGCCACTTGTTTTTTATTACGTAAATCCTTTTCCCCTTAATTTTGGAAAAATTAAAAAAAAAACCCAAAAGAAAAAAAAAAAAAAAAAAAAAAAAAACAAAGCGTATAAAAATGTATAATAATTAATGTTTTCAATTGCTTTCACAATTCTTGGATGTTAAGTTGTGGCATTTAATAATTACCTGTCAGTTTTTTGCTTTTCACTTTCCAAGTCACGAAATGTTTGCTGTAGTTTATCGGTTAGCATTTCAAGATTTTTCGTCAGCTTATATTCGGCTTCAAATTTTTCCGATAACAATACTAAATCGCGCGTAGCATCATGCAAAGGAACATCGGAGATATATAGGCCCTTCCTGAAATATATATTAATATAAAAATAAAAAATTTAGTTTAAATCATTGTTTATATATATTTAGTATGAAACTTGTCAATATGTTTTGCATTTAGATTAAAGGGTTTATCTGTAGGCAAAGCTGTGTTTTACTTATCAACTACAACAGGGGAAACAATAAAAAGTTTCCGCGTATCATAATATTTATATAAATGAGGGAACAGACGACCACGTGCAGCCAACGTTATAGAATAATTAAATTTCGTCTTTCGAATCATTGCTTTGTGCATGCTTAGCCTTTTCAATCATAACTGATTGTTTTGCTTTCCTTACCACGCTAGTCTGTTAGCGGGTGTGTCCGTCAAGTTGCGACAAGCGATAGAGCCAATGAAAATTGTGCTCTGCGCGATTTTAGGCACGTCGGCTTGTAATTTATAAACGAAGATAAGAGGTAGCTGACTGATATCATTTGATCTGATATCTTTCTCAATGATTTTGTTTGTTATGTATGGTTTTTTTTTGTTGCACTTTGTTATATCATGACTTGTAGTCCATTTTACGGCATCAGTGTTAAGCCCTGATGCTGCGATGCAAGCATTTTTGCCCGCCCATCTCTATGTCCGTGTGTCTGTTTGATATAAGAAATGACCGAAATCAGTCAAAGTATTCCCCTTTCGTACGGCATATAGCGAAGGTAGTTCTGTTTTCCGTCGTCTATCCTTTCTGCTTTTTATGTAGTAATTCTTTAGCATTTATACGATTTTTGAACGTCTTATATGTGAAGTCGTCGAAAAAGATAATCTAATCCGAACTATTTTTGCTTTCCCCCTAGATTGACAGGCAAAGACACCTAAATCGATTTAGAAAGCAATTTGTGGTTGATTGATATACCAAAAGATGGCTCCATCTCAAGTTCGTCTCGGTGTATGCATCCGCTCCGACGTACTATAACATTAGTATATATGTATATATATAAATGGTGTAGTGCAAGAAATATGAAATAAATACATTTGAAATACGTACGATATGCGAAGGACATGACATACAATCGACAGATTGAGGGAAATAAATTTCGTTCTGTCTTGTAATCAAATAGCGCGCACAACTTTCCGATGCATATTAACTAGTTAACTGTATATGACGAATATATATATATATATATATATATATATATATATATGTCATGATTCGTTCACCCGTCCTTGTCGAATTTCCTCATAAAGTTTTATCATTACGAATGTGTACTTGCCACAGTAATGTATTTTAGAAAATATTTTTGTCATTTTGTCAAGTCGTTTCATTAGATGCATTTGATGAGTATACGATGAGTTATCGCTGGAGAGGTCGACACAATTAACTGGTTAAAAGACAGAATATAAACTTTCATTTTTTTTTTTTTTTTAATATATACGCAATATAGTTCATGTGCAGTTATTTAGGAATGATTAAATTTATGTAAATTATAAACTGTTTGTTAATATGCTTCAAACTTATTGAAGTGAGATGTAATCTCTTTCGGTAAAACTATACAAATACGAAGTATTGTTTATGTTTACTAAACCTAGTTAGCTGACAGCTATTAATTAGGAGAGTTAATAAATGTTACTTCCATGCGAAATTTTGAATCATCATCTTTAACAAAATTATAAATTTATATATTGAAATAAAAATGGACAAAATAATAAAGGATATTTTGTAGAGAATTGAAGAAAAGGTCGTCGAAGGATATAAGTTATGCGCTATGCACAGGACGAACAAAAATTTTCTAGTCAAGCTATCTTAACTACAGCTGTGGTGTGTGCTTCGGCATTGTCGAAATGTTAGATCATGTTTTCGTTTACGACCAATGCTGAAAGCTTTAATTAAATTGCGCGAACAAATTGCGTTAAGTGTTGACAGTCAAGAGCGCAATCTATATAGTTTGGCTGGATTGGAGATGTTTACGGTGGTCGATTTTATTTCAATTCGATTACCCATAAAGGCCGAGTACACCGAGTGTTACCTGTTTTGACTTTTAGGCGGATTTTATATATTTTTCGAGACTTTTGACTGAATAAACAAATATTAACGGATTTTTTTTGCTTTAAAACTATCGATGGATTGTAGTTTTTTACAAACACAATAATCCGTATTGGTAGGGTTAGTGTAATGTAAGTGATGCGACTTTAAAACTGTTTTTAAGAAAATGATGAGAAACTTTTTTCCATCCACCGATATTAAGTAGTTTTACAATAAAATTTGCTTTCTGACTCATAGCTATGTAATGAAAATTACGAAGTGAGAAACGTAACACTTATGCGATTTTAACTAATATACATTGTGTGTCTGCATGTGTGTATGTGCGTGCGTGCTTCAATTGGATAGAAGTAGTATATTTCTTATAAAATGTATTCGTAGATTCTGAAAGCATAACCCACTACTAGCGCTTTCTTAATCGTTGTGGATACACGGTCTTTAGATCTATAAAGCAGATGATCTTTCAATTCAATGAATAAAACGTTTGCATTGTCTTGGTGAAATAAATACTTTTCTTATTTCCCTCAATATCTCCTGCAAATAAATTACTATAATAGAACTTTCCACGAATTCATTTTCATAGTGTACACAATAATCTCCTCTTAGTGCTTGGATTTTACTAACGAATAGTATACGACTTATATGAGGTTTTCATTCGAGTGTTGATGAGCTGGAAACTTAAAAAAAAAATGTCACTGGCAGCAATTAAGAATAATATTTATTTTTTCACTAAATCTGCTGCTAACCGCAAAGAAAAGCGTTCAATTATTTGTTTTTTTTTTTTGCCCAACATAGATTACCATCCTTTAAGAATGATTGACTTCGAATTTTGGTCAATCAGTGATTAAATTGTTCCCATTTCGCTTGCACCAGCTAAACTCCTAATACTTTTTACTCTCACTTTACAGTTTGCTTTATTCAGTTAATTGTGTATGACGAATATATACGTCATAATCAGTGCATCCATTCTTTACGGATTTCCTAATAAAGTTTTATCATTGCGATTGTGTATTTGCCATAATAATGTATTTTAAAATATATTTATGTCGCTTTGTCATGTTATTTCATTACAATCTAACGTACTGCACATAATTTGCAGATGATGAGTACACTCGTTATAGCTAAATTTTTGAGACGTAATTTGAGTGCACATTTTCCAAAGATGTCGACATAGTTAACTAATTATTTGCCAATGCCTTACCCTGACGTAGAGATCTCGTTTTCTTTTCAAGCCGGTCATAGATGCTCCTCACAAGAGCAAACTTTAATTGTTTTAAATATTCATAAGGACAATAGATCATAAGAAATATGTGTTTTGGCTGGCAATTAGTGATATGTAAATCGGAGGAACACGCTGCACTTTCCTAATAAAATTGAAAGCAATCCATTGTAATATCAAAGTTACAGTTGTGCGATAAATGTTTTTAATTCATTTTAAATTAAATTTTACCAAATACTGAACTGAAATAATTTCATAAATAAGTTCATGTATACTAAATTGCTTATGTGTTGTTATTGTACGTATTATGTACACTATGATACAATGAAATGTAATTTAAATAACAGAGACTTATGGGCCTGCTTTACTTTAAATAAATGTTAAATTGGTATTGTTATATGTGCGGAATTGTCTATGTGCAGAGATCTTTTAAACTTTTATTTATTTAAAGTACATTTGCTTGTTATTAGAAGGGCAGGACCATTCATGCAAACATGAGTTGATGATAAAGAATTATTAAAACGAATTAAAAAGATTGTTATTGCAGTACAGAAAAAGACCTTTCGAGATTTTTCGTTCAGTGAAAACTTTTTAATTTTTTATTAAATCCTTCGTAAATTATATTCTACCCCCCATTCGGGTCATATCCGTTTTTATGAGATTGTGGTTATGTATGCTCGCAATTTACCACAGTAGAGAGTGAAGAAATTTTGTAAAAATAAATTTCCCTTTTCCGCATTTGGTTTTTTTTGTTTCTTTTTTGCTCTTGAACAAACACACTTGAATTTAACAGTCATCTAATCTCCGAAAGTTTGCAAACATAAAAAATAAAAGTTTGGTATATAGTAATTGGTGCATTGGTACGAATACATACGCATACACGAATGTATTATATAAGCACAATTTTTTTCAGCAAGTAATAATTACATATAAACACTATCACGTAAATGTACATATATCAATATAAACGAACACATAGAGAAAAAGATAAATACGCATTCTCTACATATACATGCATACAGAATTTATGCATGAAAATGTGATCATTTCTAAGGGATTCTTAAATTAACAACAAATGATAAATTTATAAAGGAAAAATAAAATAAAATAATTAAAAAAAGAAAAAGTGGTAAACGTAGCAGAGAGATCTCGGAAAGACGAAGTCTGTTCAAAATAAAAAAAAGGTGATCTTTCAAATTTCGATTTTCGACTGTGACATTGCAAAAGCAATGTTTATAAGTGATACAAGCTCCACGCAGAAGGCCGAGAAGATGTTAGCGATGATAGCCGCCCATTACGTCAACAACCGAAGCAGTGAAGAAAACTGTGAAGGCGAATGATCGAATCATTATTAAAAAAGTTGCTGATGATGTCGACATATCGGATGTTTTATCATCGCATCATTCGTATGGCAGCGGAGTTCCTTCTCAATTTGCTAAATTTGGGAAAAGAAACCTTCGTATTTTTAGCCAAAAACAATAGCGTAATCATGCCTCACGTATACACCGGGCTTGTGTTCTTGCGATTTTTTCCTCTTACCAAAACTGAAAAGACTCATACAAGGATGGAGTTTTGCCACGATTAAAGAGATGAAGATCGATCGCATCGCTGGAAAAGCTCAAGGCCATACCAAAAAGCGCATATCAATAGTACTACGAGCTTTGGCAAAAGCGGTGGCACAACTGTTTTATATCTAAGGGCAATTACTTTACAGGGAACAAAAGAGATGTTGATGAACAAATAAATATTTTTCGAAAAGAACCTTTTTTCATTCTTTCTTTTAAACCCACCTCTTATCTAATTTTTGGCGATAAATGATTACAAGAAATTGAAAAGTTTTTATTATAAATTTTTCTAAAGACTTACTTGGCCAAGTCATCTAAATTCATAACGCTCGGATAGCACTGAAACAATATACGCTCCGTTTCGGGTAAGTACATCATTTGACCCTGAAATTTATATCAAAAAAAAAAAGAAGAAAATTATTTTCAACGCTTTGTTACGCTATTCTATGTGATTTGTATGATTTTCAGTTATATTGCGCAAATGTTGAGTGAAGATTACATTAATTTTAGTTTTCCGCGTGAAAATTCTGTTCCCCCCCCACCAAAATGTATGCTATTGAACCTATAAAAGTATATGCAACTACTTGGAAGTATTCTATGTCCAAGTCACGTTTGTCCGTGTCTTGTCATTCACACGTGCGATAAAAACGCTATTTTTCGCACTCATTTTATGTGCTAGAATAAACGGCTGCCAAAAAACTACTCAAATACAAAGATATGTAATGAACGAATATTAAACTGAACTTAAATACCTTACATTTAATACCGAAACATTTGTACATCTAAACTTGTTATTGTGCCGTTGATAAAGATTGCAAGAATGACATTAGAGAAAAGGAAAAATTATTCAGAAATTTCATTGACGGGTCGTACAACAAACAATTTTTAACAATATATAAAAGAAAATTTATTTTGTGCGGTGAAAGAGTGACCGTATAAAAAAAGTACTTCTTAAAAAAGATGTAAAAGTTTTTTGAAGTAACAAGAAAATTCTTTCCAAACAAATTCAATAATAAAAAAATTTGATTTCTTGTTTCAAACATAGATATGTTCTCCAAATGAGTTAATTTAATCCAAAACGCTCTTCCTTTTCTTCCTTTTTCTGTGTGCATTTATACGCTGTAAAAAAAAGACGCACATGACAAATCTCACAAAAAAAAAAAGTCGCATAAAAGCAATTGCATAAAACGCACCGCACAAAAACAGGTTTGACTGTAGTTCCTAGATATAGAAAGCAAACATACTTTCATCTAACGGTTTCAGTTATTTTCGTCTGCGTAAAATCCTTTGCTTTTTGCCATATAACACTGCATGGTACTCTGCCTTTCTGATCAGATGATCATTTGTTTTTCGCCGGTCCGTTTGTCTGTCTATGCGTTCACTTGTGCGATATTTTTGACCGCTTTCGCTTCTATAATTTCAACCGTCTCTTCTTCCGAACGTTTATCTCTTCGATTATTAGTCTGTCTGCGGATTCATTTATGCTTTCGCTTATTATATAGATTTGTTTACACATCTCCTGGCTCGTCTAACCTATCCGCAAGTGTAGAGATTTGTTCACGTTCTCGGTCATTCATCCATTTATTCATGACCTTGTCGTTCGATACGTCTAATATTTTCATCGTCCATCGTTGTTCGAATTTATATAAAAGTCGCTCAAAACTTTTGGGTGAATATGATAGTAATCAGTTCTTTCCTATGGCGAACTAAGCTACAGACGCTTATCTTGTAAGCAAAATTTTATTTCACACACATATTCGAAAGGTGATGATTTGATAAATAAAAAGCCGGCTATACACAGTTGTATGATTATTTCAATTAAAATTTAGTTTACCTGTTTCCTGCTCCATATCTGTTCAATACATTTTAATTCAATTATATTTTATTTTACTTCCATTCACATAACGAAAACCATAAGCAAGAGAAACTTATTGAATCAATATTTTTTTATAATTAAAATCATAAGATCTTTTTTATTGTAGTAAAAGAAATACAGCTCATACAACCCTTTCAATTACAATAAAAATAACATTGAATTGGAAAGTACTTGATATAATTCTGAAGAAAAAGACCGAGAAGAACTACCATCAATGATCACTTGACTGCCAAAAATAACATTAAATTCTTATAACAGTATTTTAAGTATTGTATATGAACGTGTGTGCGCTTCTGTGTATGCGTGTGTGTATGTGTGTGCAAAGAATGAGATGCATTGAATGGTGTTTGTTTCCATTTTCTGTTTTTTTTTCCTTTTTTTGTTTTTGTTTTTTTTTTTTTTTTTATTTTTTTTTTTTTATATTTACACAGATGTGCACATCGTGTATGCATTTATAAATGTATGTATATATGTATGTACATTCATTCACATATACCTTCAGTCTGAGATAACGTTCATGCTTGCCCATGGCACCTTGACGTGTTTGCAGCACATAAATGGTATTGATATGCGCCAATACATTTTCGAATGTCAACTGTAAATGAGGACGTATTGCTTCGAGCACTTCCAATAACGAGCAATTTTCATCCGCCACCCTTTACGTATTAATAGTAATGTGCATGCAAAAGATGATTATAATGATGCACATGAAAAGAAAAAGAAAAAGAAAAAAAGTGGAATAAGGAAAATTTAATATTGCAATAGACAATGAAAAATATAACGAAGATAATTTTTTTGTTCTCATAATTTGTTTTATTATTTGTACGCTGACATGTCAAGGTACTACTGTGAACAGCAAAATTGTGTAAATATCTTTTAAACCCCCTTTACTGGCGACCCCTATCACATTTAAAACTTCATTAAGGCTGAGTAAATCGATTTTTTTTTTAATCTATTTTTTAATACGTTCAGAGCATATCAGCCAACAGTCATCAGTCTTCTGTAGCATTATGGAACCGATTTTCAAAGTCAACGAAAATGATCTATGTGTTAGTTTGCGCCGTCCTGTTGCATAAGAATAGGACAAACGCGAGACTGTTTGTGCGTGGACAGAATAAGAATTTTATCCGGTATTGCTACGTTCCAGGTTCAGAATTCAGATGCTTTCTGTAACTAATCTAAAACAAAATCATTGGTCCTTTATCTACACATATATATTATAGAATAGATTCTTTCAGTGATTAAGTCATTTGATTAAGGTGAACCGAAGCAAGTGTACCCTCCTGTCATTGCTTGGAGATCGTACCATTCATTTAATATAAACCATAGCAAGAGAATTTTTTCATTCATTGTACTTGTGTTTGAGTGAAAATGTCTGTTTATCTATGTCACATATAATACCAAGTGCTCTTGTTGTGTGTTGCTTCTGTATATGATAGTGTGTTACAATATGTATGATGTGATATATATTATTTTCTATGCCAATGCCCGTACCCTCATCAAATTATGTCAAATACATACCGTGGTATAACTCTTGAGACAGATTTGCCGGCCTGAACAATTTTCATTTGACGATCAAACATTAAATGAAATGGAAAAATTTTACAAAACGATGCCGGCGATATTAATGGAGCTGTAATTTATTTAATTAAGAAAAAAAAAAAAAAAAAAAAAAAAAAACAAAAAAGCAAATCCTTATATATATAAGTTTTTCTCCACACATACATAAAACATTTAATTCAAATACCTTCACATAAAAAATCGATTTCATCTGGTGGCTCTTTGCTGGCTTCCTGGTCCTTAGTTGCCGTCTCTTTGCTATCGGCTTTGGCATCAGACGTTATTTCGCGTATTAGAAATTGTACATGATCGTAACGCTCGATATCGTCGCTTTTATTTTTCAATAAACGTAAGCATTTCTGCTCCTTGTCTTCGTCGGCATCGAAACTGTCGGCTTTTGTGGCAGTTGTTGAAGAGATTGAACTCGACTTTGGTTTAATAAAAACACATTGCTCTGAAAGTATTTTATTGTTTTCTTGTGTAAAATTTTTTCAATGTATTAAACAAAAAAAAAAAAAAAAAAATTCTTATTTAGAGAAAGCGAACCTTCGTTTTTGTTAACTCCATCCGTATTGCTAAAATTTTCCACTGTGTCTTGTTCGTTGTTGTTATTTAAGTTTCTATTATGATTGTTATTTTCCTCGCTTGCAAACGTATTGGTAGTTACATGTTGTTGCTGTTGTAATTGCTGAGAGAAAACGTCATCTTTTTCATGTTCCTCAACTGGGTCACCTTTTCGTTTAATTATATCGATTTCCACCTCGACACCATGCAGTTTAGAAGCCACAGCCTATTGGAAGAATTCACAGAAAAGCATTTTTTGTTTTTTTTGTTTGTTTGTTTTTTTTTTTTTTTGCATTAACAGGAAGAGTGCGTATCTATGTTTGTGTTTTTGTAAATGTGTATGCACATATACCTTAACAATGCCCATTACAATATGCTCTAGGCCTGGACGTTCAGAGTAATAATGCAATAGTAAAGAACCATCTTTCTCTGTGCAACGAAACGATGGTGCTCTCATGCCCGGATATAAAGTGCCCAAATGGTCATGTAAAGCATCTAAATTCTGCAATGGACACAATAAGCAAAAAAAAAATGAGTCAAAGTTGACTGAAAGTGTCATGCAAAATATGAATACTGAAAGACTAAATGACATGACGTATATATGTTGATTGAAATAAAAAAAAGGTTTTTTTTTTTTTTTCTTTTTAATTTCATATCTACTACCTACATATATAGCTAGGAGCTATATAGCTACAGCACAAATCACACTTTTCTCTACGCCCATAATGTAACCGGGATCAATGGCCGATTTTTAAGTATTATATAATTAAATTTTCTCATTTTTCTAATGTAAATTACTTTCATATTCATTTGATTAGCTGGACATCCTGCATTCATTTATACATATTCGATAATGCCTTTGACTATTTATTCGTTGGTCCATTCTTTCATTGCTTTGTTTAGCCTTTCGTTCTTTCGGTCACCAAAGCCATATATATAAGAAAGAATTTTGAAAGTTTTTGCACATAGATACGCCACTTACATAGGCTTGTCAGGGCGGATGGTCCTTTCCAAAACAGACATACTTTTCAAATCAAATTTCGTGTAACGTACATGTTCTACAGCGACCAGCAAGAAGAAGAAAAGCAAGTATTGCATTAGTTGACGTTGTGTTGGAGATATGGTGGTTGCTGCCCTAAACGCAGATTCCTGTCCCTGCTTTTTCTTATCGAAAGCTATCGCAGCCATGATAGGTAACTCGTCTTACAATGTACACAACACTTAGTCGGCTCTTAAGCTATATGTGAGACCACAATGAAGGACGATTTTGATCTTCATCTTCTGATGCAGTGAACTCTTGCTTGAAAACAACTTAACAGTATTTACAAAGATGTATAGTGACGGCGCCAGGTTTCAAAGCCGAGTTTTCTGAAAGCGTAACCCGAAGTGAAATGATAATTATCGCCAGCAGTTCTCGCCGCATAACGTTCCCGAATTCTACGAACTGTATAATCCGTCTGATGTGTAGTTTGAACTTTGAACTCGTACTTTTTCAACCTCCTGCTGTTTACATTATCCGCTTTCCAGCAGTAACGAGTAGAGGGAGTCTCCAAAATTGAGCAGAACGACATTTCCAACTTTCGGTTAATTGCTTTAACTATTTTTCCTATTTTCATAGGTAAAGTTCTTAATTCATAAGAGTGAACAGAAAAGATGGATACATAAGCGGATGCATTGGCAGACAGAGGTAATTAAGTCGATTTCGTTATTCACACCGAATGGTATGGGAATGTATGATATATATATATATATATATATGAATGCGAAGTATGGCGTCTCCAATAACCGCATTTCTCTGTCATCCACATTTAACGAGTTAACAAGGAGAAGACAAAGTTTTTATTTATTTACTCTAGCGAACAGAGAGTGTGAATTAAAAATTCGCCTTGAGGGACATTTGGTTGTATATTCTTGGTTATTTTTACTTCCGCTTCACCATCTCTCTCTCTCTCTCTTTCTCTCTCTGTCACTGTCACTGTCACTGTGGCACTATTTAAAGACCATTCCATCTTATTTGTGTCTTTGGAAGCCAATGGCTGTTATTGCGTATTATTGAAAAACTATTTTATTTGCTATTTTTAATAAGTTGAAGTCATTGTTTACACAATTATATGATTTATTTTATATCAAAGAGTGCGGAGAATACAAAAAGATTGTTTAAGAGTTGAAATGAAATCGCATGTGAATTGTTGAACACCCAGAAGAATGCAACCGGACGGATATAAAAGAATTGCTATTGTTTACGTTTTTGAAACCAATCACACAACAATAAAGGATTGCTATGGTTGGCCAGATAAATTGATTCGTACGCTTGTTACGGTCTTTTGGGATCGCAATGCCTCGCTGCAGGGCACAAAGAATTTATTATAGCTGAATTATTATTAACAGATATGTATTTGTACGACGTGATAAAGGATAGATAGATAAATGATGCTTAAGAGAATATTAATGAATTCTAAATTGTGTCATATACGCTTGCGATGAGTGTTAAAACATTATTAGTGTAACAGCAGAAGGCAATAATATGGATTTATAAAATTTCTTAAATGAAGTATTTTCGAATTCGTTATTGAAAGAAAGTCTATTCAAATATATCTATAAATAGCTTAACAATTATCATTTTAAAAATATATTTTGAATTTTAGAAACTTACCTGTAGAAAATCTCTAGGTGTGGCGCCTAAAACTTGCAATATTTTATCATAACCGGAATCTTGACAAAACTCAAAGAATGTCTTGCCAAATATTTCTAAAATATCATCAGCTGGTATATCTTGAGATTAATAAAAAAAAAAAAAAAAAATAAAAAAAATTAAGTTAAAAATCAGAAATTTTTTTCCATTATTTCATCTTTTAATATCCATCATCTATATATACGTCTGAACGGGAATAATGTCCGAGGCGCTTAAAAAATGACACTCATTTCATCTCCCAAGTAACTCTGTGAAAATATTCAATGGGCGCTAATTTAATTAAAGGTCTCCCATCTACTTGACTGAAAAGGAAAGAAGAAAAACAGCTAACGAACGTCGAAAGGAGAGGATAGCGTTTTTTAATTTATTTGTGATATTAATGTTATGCATAAAAAGAAAAGCGCGAAGGGAAAAATGATATTAAAAGTAATCTGAAAGAACATATTCAACATTTTAGGTTTATAAGCCTTAGGGTGAGAAATGAAATGAAAATGGGACCATTTTGTGAAATAATTCTTGTCCAGAATCAAATGAAAACTTTTAAAAAAAACATTTCTTAAAGCAAAAAACAAAGTGCTTTTGTAAGCTGCAATCCACAACAAACATTGCTAACTTTTATAATATATAGTCTCAGTTAAAGTCAATAGTCACCTGCTTATTCCAGATGTGTTCATAAGAAAGTTTTTTACAGAAAGTAGAGAGTTATTGTGGGACATGACGCTCAATAAGCGATTGTCCAAACGATGAACGCAAATGGTTGTCGGAAGGAACCGAGTTCGGTGCCCAAACAGCATGTGCTAACACTTCCTAGTTGAATACTTCCAAAGTACCGCAAACGGCTTTTTATCTATGGAAAGATGAATGGATGTCACGTGAGAAAATGTCTTTCCGTTGCTTTTTTGGATATATCGGATATATCGTTTTTTAAACAAGAGAACGGTTCGAGTCGATTAACTGTTGTTGGCAGCCACACATCCCTTCTGGTGCCACCAGACAAGAATATCGTTATCCCGCTGAAGCGATTCGGTTTTGCAGAATACGGACAATGAAAAAATACTGTCAACGGTCTTCATTAGGTACGAAAGTCGACATTTTCCTTGTTAGATGGGCCCTTGTGCTTTGCGATATGCGCTGATAATACAACGTGACATTAGGGCACCTATGGGAAAATTTCGGTTTTGTATATACAAACCAGGCATTAGTTTCACTTAATATTCCTTTCAAGGTCATATCAGGTTTTGCCATATTTTTTTTTGTTCTTTCTTTTTTAATCAAAATTCCGGGCATGTGTCGCATATGTGAACAAATAGACTGACGAAGAGAGAGAAGAAAACGGAGACCGAAAGACAGGATGTGACCGCAGCGTAGAAGGCTTTTACGAATTAAGCGTTCGCTACAGCTGCGGTGACACCTCATTCACCATTGAAATACGGTCTGCCGCTCTAGCCATTGAGCCCATTCATGCCGATTTGATTATCCCACACTCCTTACCCGCATTTATATTTATTATTAGAACACTGCTTCGTTAATTGGACAGATTAGAAAGTTTGTGAGGAAGAAGAGAATAGGATTTATCGCAGCCTGTGTTGCGGGCCGGTGAACCAAGATTGTGAGAAAATAAAAAAAAAGAAATTTATTTTTGCTACTACGACCAGTAGCGCAAGCGATTGCATCAAAGTTCATTAATTTTTTGATGATGGATACAAAAGTAATTGTTTAAAGTATATCTTTTTTTATATGTGTATAAATTATATATTAGTCAGTGTCGTCTACTTACTTAGAATTTCAACTGCAGCTCCAATAAGATTATAGGTAATTTCATCATCGTAGATTTGACGTACGAGAAATTGCCCGTCCATGCTGACCATGGCCTTCTTTCTACGAGCAAAAGAAAATATTTACTATACCTTTTTATATATATATGAAGTAAAATACACATAAATTTTATTTTTCAATTAAATTAAAACCGAGATATATTTATTTCATTTACTTTTACAGGAAGAATACCTCTTAGTATTGTGACATAAACTTATTTATTAGTAGTTAAAACATGGGTTGCGATTGAATATAATTGTAGGGTATAGGGTTTTTTTTTTGTTCGCAAAGAATGAGACAATAACGGCTATAGCGGCTTTTAGGCCGCAATTTCTTGTCATCTTGATTTGCGAGGGCAAAGTTTGTCCTCGACGTTTTTTGTAAGAATTAATTTTTCAAGTCAGAGGATTAAGCTGAGTCGTGAGTGTGTGTCTTAGTTGAATAGATAAATAATTTGCGGTATGGTTTAGCAAAGAAAGTGAATAGTCACGTTACGTTTACTATGAAATAATGAGAAGCGAATACCATTAAATCTAGAAATTTAAAATGAAACTCTAAACGGTTTTCCTTTTTAAATATGGCTGAGCACCTAAACGGATTCAGATATTGATGTGCATGTCGCCACCTGAAATGTCTTACTGTGTATAGAAAGAAAAATTTAACCTAGTTGGTAAGGACGGTAAGGAATCTCTCTCAAAAGAGTTTTTATAGAAAAAAGTAAAGTTTTATGATGTTAGTAACCCTTTTATGTAGGCGCACAGAATTCTAAGCTAAGCTTTCTAATATTTTTTTTTGCTTTCCAATAGAAGATCTGTAGTTGATCTCTTCTGTTCCCGAAGATATGAATGCAAGGAACTTTCTTATTTTCGTTTTCGTTGTATTAGTTTCGATTGTCCATTAGTTAAAGAAACTGCTGCGAGTGCACGCGAAACGATTAGTGATAGTTTACACTGATTAAGGGAAGTTGAGTTGTTCCACTCTACCGTAATGCAAGAAACCGTAACCATATCGGGCAAGCCGTTCGGTATGAGGATATAATGTGTGTTTTCTTTTTCTTTTTTTTTTATTATTAAATAATCATTTGTCAGTTGGCTGGAAAAGCTGGTTTCGTAAAGTAATTGCATTTATTCATTGATTTAACTTTCATTGCATAATTCATTTGCATTTGTTTTTTTTTTTGTCGCAAAAATACACTTGTGTTCCCGCGAGTGCATCATGCAAATAATTTTTAATTATTTAACTTTAATAAATAAAATTGTTCTGCTGTAAAGTAAATCAGAAACTTTTATCTCTTTAGTAAATTATTACCATTGCATTGCGGCAATTACATGTGGTAAGTTCGTGCGGAACACACTTGAGTACGCCAAAAAAAAAAAAAAAAAAAAATTTTCCATTTTCAAAAGTTTGTATTTATTATAATCTTTTACAGCATCAGTTATCTTTTGTTTAAACGATATTCACACTACGCCAAAAACTTTTTCTTCCTTATTGTTGAAGAAAAACAAAAAAAATTTAAGAGAAATTAAATGAAAAACAAAACTATTGTACTTAAAGTACTTTCAAGTTTGCAAAACATTAAAAACTTTTTAACTGTGATTTTTTCATTTCTATATTTTCGCTTGCATGCGTATGAAAGCGTATTGGAAACGAGTGTTTTCACATCGGGGCCACAAAAGGAAATTAATTGCTTTCCGTTTATCGATTTATATAATTTGTTGTTTAATTAAAGGTTTTTTTGGTTTGAAAAATCAAAAAAATAAAAAAAAAAAAACAATGAATAAAAGCCAGAAAGATAGACTTCAGATCATCCATAATAACTGCGAGTCAAGGGATTTTCTGTGTTTACGAACTTACCACACGCGTGAAATTGCATGTAAACAATATATCAGTAAAGTAAAGTCAGACCAAAGTGACAGCAAAGACAATTGAATTCTCAATAAAACGAAAAAATTAATTATCTTATTTCGTTTGATTTTGCATTTAATAGGTATAAGAAACTTTTTTCACTTCACTTTATAAATCCATAGTGACAATTGTTACAATTTCTTTGAAGATTTTCAACTTGTCATGAACCTGGATAGGTTCTAATAATATCTTTTCTATAAAATCTGATACAAAAATTTGGTGAATAGAATCCGGATAGCCGTAAGGACCACTTTCTAATTGCCTTAATCATTCATGATTAATTTATCGTTTAGGTTTTATACACAAATTATGTGTATATATATATATGCGAACAGTTAAATATATTGTTATAATGGACAGACGGACAGACGAACAGAGGTGTTGATCGAACGAAATTAAACGATAAACTAGAAATGTAAAGCCCGTGCAGCTTGCACGTGGGCGTTGCAAACGTTTCGACAAAATGAACACACCCTATGATTCGGTAGTGAGTAAAATTATGCAAAAATTTGAAATAATATTTCAAAGGCAGTGAAGTCTCTCTCATGCAAAAGTCGCATGGAATGATTTAAGTCTGTGTTTTCATAAATATCCTCCCGAGAAAAAAGGTAGAGCGGTTATGCTTTTATATACGCGGAATGGCAATACACATGTCTCCTAGAAGATATGTTCTGGCGACAGCAATAATGTAAGTGATAATAAAAAGAGAAGTAATAATATTGGCATTAAATCTTTATCTTCTCCTTATAGTTCAGTTTTCTTGGATTATTAATAAAAGCAGGCATAAAATGATAGCTTATAACAACAACAACAACTAACCTACACATTTTTTATTATCCTAACTGAAAAATTATATTATTTTCATTTTTAATGTGTTATATATACATATATGATAAACTTATTGAGTTATATACGTATTTGATGAAATTTTTTCATATAAAATTAAATTTTCAAATATTCAAGACTATGAAGACATTTAAAAATTTTATACTATTACCAAGTTTCTATTTAGTTAGGAAAATACAAAATTTTTTTTTGCCCTCTTATTGGAAAAGTCACGCACAAAAATGAAATTTCATCTAACTTTAAGAAAATTGTTGGCAGCTTGCAAAGGTAATCATGATGTTAATAATAAAACATTTCCTTTCTTGCTTCAAAAAGTTGACATTTCATGACAAAGTTACTATTTACCTACAAATTTATTATATGTTTCTTGAAAAAATTTCCAACAAAAATATATTGTATTTTGTCAGAACTTTGACTCTTTGGTATTGCGAACAGAATTTCGCAAATTTATTATGAAATAACATTGTTTGAATGCAGTAAATCTATTATTTAAGAGATTCTCTTCTTCTTTCATGATTATTTTTCATTTTATCAAACCATATATTTTAATAGTTTGCAAAAGATAGGTATAGTGAACGCATCAATCAATGCGTTTCATTTATGTTAAATTCAATGATTTTATGACCAATAATTTCGCTTACAAGCAATGCATTCCCGTCTACACATATCAATACGCTCGATACAGTTTCTATTTTAACAATGTATAAATTCGCACGCTATGTGAAGAACATTTTCACGAATACCCATAGGCTACTACTACTTGTGAAAGCACCTTTCATGTGCACGGTGTCAAGGTATATTAGGATATCGAACCTGCTAGTCCTTCGCATCAAAGAACGCTTTGAGAGCATATTTAAATGTGCATAGTTAGTTTTACGTATAATTTAGAATGTGTGCTCAGAAGGAGAAATTCGATAACTCGAATACATAGAAGAAAACAGTTTTGAGATCATTGTATTGGAAGAAGTTCTCTCAAAGAGCATTCCCTATGGAAGTCGTGTGAAAAGAACGCCATAGCTTCATTTAATGTTGAAAAAATCTTTTAAATTAGAAAAAAAATTTTTCCTATATATATATATATATATATAGTGTATATATAGAGAATGTGCAGTTCTATCCTAAATATTTGCAGCAATAACTCGTGCGTATCATTTTTCTCTAATTGTACAACTATACAGACTGTACTTGAAACAACAATTTCTGATGAAAATCAGTAATGAACTAAGAGCAAAAAAATATATATATATAACAGCAAACGGGAGCTTTCACAATTTGGATATTTGCCCTTCAGCAAAGAATATTGATTATCATTAAGGTGTATTGAATAGTCGAAATTTCGCATTGAAGGAAATTTAAGTAAAGAATAAATACTGGGTCAATGGAACTGTTTTATAATAATGAATTTAAGTTGTGCTTGGTACAAATAATCTGTTCCTCACAATGCTGTTTATAGCTTATTAAGACTGGCTTATATTAATCCAGTTGCTTGGACGAAAGCAAATTTGAAATAAGAAAATGGATATAATTCTACAAAAAGATGCTCTAGTCAGGCAAAAACCATTATTGATTCGACTGCTCTTACATTAATTCGACTAATACAATACTGTGCCTTCTTTCCTCATTAAAATATCAAAAGCTACGCATACATAGTTACAATATAGTCGCTTACTTATTATGCGAACCTTTTCAAGAGCAGGCGTTTGCAAAATTGACCTAAGTGGTAAATGATTTCTTTTTTTAAAAGATATAGGTTTTTTTTGCAAGAAAGAGAGAGGGAGAGGAATGAAAAAATGTTCCCATCTAAAGTACATTTTCCAATTTTCACACATAGACAAACGGACGGATATACTCACAAGCATTCAGCAAAGATTTTGAATTGTCATTGAGTCATATATTCGCGCTAAGTCTTAACATGAGTGACGTAGGTCATAAAAAAATAGCTAATGATTTCAGAAACAAGTTAGAAAGAACAAAGAAGTTTCAATTTTCTAATAAATCTTATATTTACATATAGCTCTTAAAGTGGTTGCGATTCTCTTTTTAATGAAATATATTTTAAAGCAAAGTAAAGAAAAACTAACAAAATCCAAATGTGAATATAAATATGCATATAGCGATATGTATATATGTACATATGAATAAAGCAGGCTAAGCCACATATTGTGTTGACAAAACTAAAAAGTTCCAATATTCTTACCGACTACTATCGAATGGATATATTGGCAGAAAAAGTATTTAGCGAAAGGATTATTATAAACAAGTTAGAAACTCATACTTGGTCCAGACCGGATCTTTAAAAAAAAAAAAGAGAA